GTTATCTTGCAGCAATCAAGCCTCACTGTCGGGCGGCTGCCAAGCTGTGGCGCTGGCTGGAGAGGTAGCGGTGCTGGATGGGTGAAGGGGAGGACTGGAGGGGCTGCCAGTGCAGATGCCCGCAGACAGACCGCCTTGCCTGAGAGCTGCCGGAGCCTCAGACAGCTCTCTCCATCACCCCCTCCAGCCTTCCCTCCCCTCCCATTGCCATCTGTGAAACACACACACACACACAAACACACACTCAGTACCACAGCACCAGCAAAGAGGCAGAGGGACACTTAGCCACGTTAGCAGCCTCACTAAGACCGCTGTGCCGGTTAACTGCTGACATGCTTTAAAAAAGACTAAAGCGAGTGAGAGTTAGGAAAGATTTTGGCAGAGGGGAGATGGGATGGAGGAGGAGGAGGAGGTTGAGCGGAGCTGCTGAGCCAGATGGCTGGTAAAAGCTAAACTAAGAACTGTAGACGATAGAGATACAAGCCAGGTGATTTTTCGCTCTCAGGTTTTTATGACAGGTGGGCAGTGGAGAGCCGTCTGGGGTTGACGGTGCTGCCACGCGTTCAGCGTGCAGTGACTGTGTAGCATGTGCAGCCATGTGGATGGTGCAACTGTTTTTGAGTGTGAATATTTATGTGTGTCTGTTCTTCTGTTTCTGCATCTCCATATGGGCAGCACGTCCAACTATGGCCACATTTTATTTAATCCTTAATGCATGTCTGTCTCCTGTATTGTTAGCTTTGGTGATTGAGCCTGACACTTGCTGCAACTGTAGTGTTGCTGTGACAAGTGTAATAACAGAGTTAGAGCTCTGAAAGGAAAAACTGTCTAAGTGGAGGGCAGTTCCTGTTTATCAGGATTCTTAATGTGTCCTTTCTCCACTTCTCTGAGGCCTACTCTTAAATTTCCTTTGCTGCCTTTCTATTTCACTTTATTTTTAACTCTCTAATGAACACCAGGTTGCAAAGGTCAAGGGAACGAATGATAATCAGCTTCCCAGAGCTTTTGCTGCTTTTTTTGTATCCAACTTTGATGAAATGTAGAACTTCTTTCTGTTTTTTATTGTAATCAGGACTCAACCGTGAATATCGAGGATAAAGACATAATCATTCCCCAATGTTTGTACAGTAGCTACAGATTTTATTTAGCAAACTACACAACTGAGCACTTCAAGATCAACACAACCCTAAAAGGGAATTCTTGTACATCTTTATGCCCACGACTGCTGCTTACTTTACAATTACTAAAGTGGTTTTATACACCACTGAATCCTTTATTGTTGGTATTATGTGAGTTTGGAGGGAAATTAGGCAGAACTCTGCAGCAGTGGTGTGATGGCTTAAGATTCATGTGATAAAAAATTATTTTAAAACAAACACAATAAATGCGCAAGAAAAAACTATGCAAGAGCTATAACAGTAATGATATTATGCAATTAAGCAATAAATAAGACTAGAGCTACAGATTATTACAAAATGCTCAATTTATGCAGTAGAGAGATTGCTTGGGTGTCAGGACACATTACACATGTCAAAGCTTTACAGCTATCCTGTTACTCATTGACATGAGTGTGCCACAATTTTATGGAATAAAAAAACGATACGAACAGTAAAAAAAATAATATTTCCTCTGCAATAATTTTGAAAGTTTGTCTTGTATTTTGTAAAATATTCCAAAATCTATTAAATAAATTGCATCCATTAAGTGTCACGTTTGAGGTAAATCACAGGGCGAAGACTGGCAAGATGCAAATTGAATCAGTTTATGAAGATAAATTTCTGAAACTGGGGAAGAAAAGGTCCAAACAATGAGTGGAGAAACCAGTAAACATGGCAGGATCTGCAGCAAGAGGGTCTGACCAAATAAATATCCAACCAAAGTGACAACCTAAACTTAAGTGAGGAAATATTAAACATAATATGACATTTAGATTGAATTATGTCAAAGGTAAAAGGAGAGCTTCAATGATTTTGTGTTTTCATTGGCTAAGAACAATTTAGTTCATTAACTTCAAAGAAATTTATAATTTTATAGCAGTGGAGGCATAATTTTACATCATCCATTTTTTTACATATTTAAGTTTTCTGATGGAAATCCTTTTAAATTCTGATTGAATAATTAAATTCCATTTGCTTTTCAGTTGAATGTTGTCATTACTTCATTTTCCTCTTACAGTTTTTCTCAGTTGCTTTGCTGCATATCTCGAATCATTCTCAACAAGTTTTATGAAGTAAATTTCTCAAAATAATTAATTCATTTCTCAAAAGTAAATGACAGTAAATGTCAATGAATGTCGGTGCCATCAGATCAGAATGACATGTCCGTGTTTCATTATGTTCAGATAAAACAATTAATTATTTTATCATTTTGTGAGCATAACAGTAACTCTGAAAGATGTTCTCTTGTAAATTATTGCTAACATTTAGATAACAATTATTGTAAGTACCGTACTGTTTTTTGTACTGTAGTTATGTTGTTGCGATTCAGAAAGAAAAAGCAAGGAACGCTTAAAAACAAAAGTAGAAATTGGAACATTGGACAAAATCTTCTTAAGGAAAACAATAATGTTCCTGGCTGTTGGGTCACAAATTTCCATCCACCATCATAAAAAGTATTTTCTCTTGCAACACAGCATAATTGCTGAAATAATTGCTTAGTGTCTTAACCAGCCTCTGCAGACGTGTGCTGTGGATTCGATATAAATAAAGATATGGATCTCAGAGAGGTCAATTTAGGTATCCACCACAGTGGCCTCCTTCTCTAAACACTTTCATCATTCAGCTGAAAAGACAGGGTTTCTTTTTAAGCTGTCTACATATGTGAGAATATATGAACATTCACAAATAAAAAAAGCTCAAATAACCCGCAGGAAAGGAGAAGAAGTATAATAAGCTGTAAAAAGCTACAATTTGATATCTTAAAATGCCAAACCATCCTGGATGTTTTAGACTTGTTGACAAAATTGGAGCACCACCATCAACGCTGAACAGATATCTTAGCTAAGACTAAATAATAATATTACATTGTTTCATGCTATGCTATGTAGGTTGGAGATTATTTACTCGACTCAGCATATCAAATGCCCGAAACTTAAAGTGAAACGGAGTTTTTCTTTTATAGTTAATATTTCTCTGCCTTTTGATGGGCACTCAAAGAGCACTATAGTTTTATTTCCAGAATTGTCAATGGATCCTTCAGTATGAAAACAAGAAATAAAATGATACCCTGTAATGTGCCCAGTCCAACCTCAGCAGAACACTGTGAATCCCACATCCTGGATCCCAATAAGCAGGCACTCTTTAGGATGAGAGAACATCAAATGTCCTTTAATGACATGATAAAACTTGTTCTACAAAATCCGCTTCACTTTATGCAGGACATGTTTTTTTTAATAAGCAGCTATGAATGTCAAGACACAAAATGATACAACATACAAGAGTTTTTGGGGGTTTTGTTTCACATTGAGAAATCTGTAATGGACTGATAATTATCTGAAGGAGTTTGCAATCAACAATCTCTCCCTACTTAGAAAATCTCAGTATTTGGTGGATATTCTTTTAAATACAAAGCCTTATTCAATAAAAACTAAAAAAATAACCACTTTCATGCACAATACATTCCTTTGACTCCATTTGTTACCATTTTTCCTTACAATCAAATTCAGTTTGATGAAAATATGAAATTCTTGAACTCTAATATTTTTATTTTGATACAGCTTCAATCATGATTCACCAAACAAAAATTTGTTTCACACAGATCTCAAAATATCAATGAATGCTTCCATCATTTCTTCTCATTACTGCAGTTGCGATGAAAATTACATATATTTGAGCATGAAGTTGCTATGAATGCTAAGAACAGCACCTTATCATGAGAAATTGGCAATAAGTTACTGCATATTGATCTCTTGAAATCTTTTTTGGAGCAAGTCTTGAGCTTATAAAAGTGTGTAGCTGCTCCATCGATCTGGGACGGCGAATCAAATTTGAGATTAATAATTAATGATTAGTCTAGAAGAGGCAAATGCATTTTGTGATCATGCAGGCAGAGCAGATTTGTCCATTGAGGATAAAAGTGCTCTTGCAGAAATGAGATGTGTAGGCACACAAACTCACACACACACACACGCACACACACCCCCCCACACACATACACACACATTCATGTGGATACAGTTGCACTGGATCTAATCTGTAATGCATCCAATATGTGGAGCTATTGGCCGGCACTCTGGGAGGCAAAGCTTCATGGCACAGAGAAACCTGCACGCTAGTCTACATCCAACTATCCAATCAGCATCTTGTCTGGCTCCAATGCCAGCGGACCAATCAAACGTCCCAGATGCAGCCCACTTCCCATCCCCCAACACACATATTCACTGTAAATACACACCATTCCAGCTGTGATTTTTGGACACAATCCAAGTTGCCCGTCTCCAGAGTGGTGCAAAGTTGCATCAAGGTATGTATTTATTTTTTGTTTGGAAAGGAACATTTCGGATTTCTCTTTTTTCTCACAGAGATAACAGCTGCCTCCACACACAAAACAAAAATGAGGTGAACACTGAAGAAGCGTTGATCAGTGAGCAATGGAGTGACACAACAAAAGACAAACAAGAGAGAATTAGAGAGGAAGAGTGTGAAAGGAAACGTGACTAAGAGCTAGAGACAACCAGAGCAGTCATTCACATACAACCAGATCAGCCTGTATGATAAAGGAAGAGGATTACACTCTGGCTGAAAGACTTAGAAGTATCCTGAGTCCCCCTCTTACTCTCTGCCACTTCAACGAAGTCACCATGGACAATAGATCTGTCTGTTAGCACAAAATCAAAAGGACAAAACTCAAACTAAAGGGCAGCGTAAGTGTTAGTATTGTGAATGGACTTTTTACAACCCAGACCAAATATAAAGGTCAAAGTATGTGGAAAATATCCAGGATTAAGGACATACCAAGCTTGGTAATGTTACAATGTTTAAGTCTTTGTAGTTGTGACTCACCTAAGACATATGACGTGACACACAGGTGCCAGAGAAGTCCAGACTGTATCTGATGGGGTTAAGCACAAAAGAAACCTTGTGTCAGTTTTTAAAAACACAAGAGACTCAAAATAAATACAGGCAGACTTTTTATAACAACCCATTAAATGCAAATTAGAAGCATATTTGAGTTAAAGGAGGAATTTAGCTTCATCTGTGAATGGTTGATTCTTACAAAAAAGATAGTGATTGTAACATCTAAGCAAAACATAAATAAACAACACTGCTTGTAGGTACATAACACATAACAGCAGGGAATGTGGGTTAAACTTTACATACAAAAATGCTGGGTATGAAACAACTGGGAATACACAGGAATAAAATGGCAAAGAGACAAAATCATCAGCATGATTTGAATTTGGCACAAATAATATTGAGGAGCTTTACTGGAAACCAGTCAGAAACTCAGGCAACAGTTGATGCCACAGAGACAGAGCCAGTCGCTAAAGTTGATCTTATAACACATCTGCACCCCAACAGCTTGGCCCTGGTTGTCTTAAGCCTTTGCTGCAATGCAGCATAAGACTTTAAGTTAAGTTTAAGACTGCTGGACCTGTTATTAGTAATCCTGAAGTGTCCCACCAGATAAAATATGTTTGATCTCCTCTCTTTTTCAAGGATTTCTGTCCAGTAATGCATTTTAATCAAAAAGAGTTTTGATTAAAGATTCATAAACTTGTGCATCATTTCTTAGTTTTGACATTTGGTTAATTTTTGATTTTCAACTTTAAATATATTGTGATTCATATGCAGAAACATGTTTACAGAGAAAGAGAATGAAAAGAAAAAAGGTTAGCTCTTATTATGGGCTGAATTTTTTTCCCTGGTAGTTCTACAGGAAATCTTTTTGGATTTGTGCAGCACAAACACTCTGCACATGTATTCCCATCGGCACTCCTGGAAAATCTGCTTAAAAACCTTTACATTTAATTCATTTTTTCATTGCAAGCATAATCTTGAACATTTTAGAGACATCCAGACTTTCACTTGAGTACATTCAGTGAGTGGAGAAAAACTTAAGAAATGGCACATTTTAACTAAATAACAGATATTTTTCTCCAAACCCAACTACAAGAGAACTGCAACAAGGATTAACAACTTGGACACTAAATCTCCCTGATGACCATTTACTTTGATCCCTGTGCCAAATAGCTGCTGGGATTTGATGTCCCCCCAGAAAAGCATCTTCTGCCCAACCATCACAAAGGTAAACATGTGAAGTTTGATCAACTGAGATGGAAATTTAACATATTCTTTGGTCAAATGAGATTAAATAACTTTTCAGCACCAAAAACTCAAGGCAGATCAAGCCTAAAACATTTAATAAATATGTTATGAAACCATGTAATGTCCAGGGTAACGAGGAGAACCGATTGTTTCTTTTTGAGAAATAAGAAGATTTAAAATAAAACCTTGTGTCCCCTGCTAGAAACCCGAATAGCCATAATATATATAGGTATATTATTTCAAAATAAATTTCTAAATCAACACTGTGGTTTGAGAGATACAATGCATCTGCTTCCATCGTCCCCAGTCCTGAATTTAATTGAAACATGTCATCCACTTATAGGTGTAAGATTAAATCTGTCCCTATTAGCAAAGTTCAAAATAGCATAGTGATTTTCCTGTCAGTTTTACTCAATGCAGTTAAACTGAGCCCTCCAAAATCTACTAATTATTTGATCTACCTTCACATTAAAAGTCTAAGCCAGTAATTTACCTGCAACCCCTGCCCTGGTGTTAGACCCAGAAAAATCTGTTTTCCTCCATGTAATTATGTGTGAGAAACATATTTATCACAGGTTGCATGATTTTTTTTTCTGCAGAAACCCCCCAAAATCTCACCGTTTAAAGACCTGTTACAATAATCATAAGGGTAAAAGACATGGATTATTTCCAAGTTCCCCTGCGGAGTGGTGTATTTTCACTTCCTGCAGCAGCACATTGACAGTGATGCTTCTTTCTGATGACCTTAAATAACTTATTGATTTCTGTAGAAGTGGGAATGAGCAGATAACTACCCCCTTCCCCCATCCATTTCTTTTTGGTGTTTTTTTTTCTCCTTTTTCAAGCCATTGGAAGTATTAGGCTTGATATTACAGAGGTAAAAATAATTGTTGTTTACTCCCTCTGGGTTGTGCAGAAAATAATTCACAAATAAAAAAAACCTGTTGCTGGAACATACCTGCTCTGTGTTAGCAGCTAAGTGCTGCAATGGAGAAGGGTCAAAGACATAATGCGTTATAATCTCCACGTGGACAACCTTCCCACTCAGCAGCGCTGCTACCGTTAACAAAGAGCGTGGCCTCATCCCTCAGCTGCCGCTTCCCCTCCCGTGCTTCCACCAGCAGACCTTGGACTTAAACTGCTCCATTGTCGTGGTGCCTATCGACTTGTTAGATGAATTCAGATTTCACATGTCAATTAAATGAGTGTTGCCCTGGTGATTAGAAGATCCCACTAATTGTTGCTCCCTCCTCCTCTTTCCTCTGCTTTTTTTTTCTTTCTCTTCCTTCCCCTCCTCCTCTTGCTCCTGCCATTTTCCACATGGAGGAGCAGGGAATGGGGCTTTGTGCCGTTGGGCCCCTTTATCCCATGTCCAAGATGGCTCCTTGGCCTGTTCCTCAAGCCGGTCTCCTGCTCTGAGAGGCCCACAGCCAGTCTTTGAGCTTTGGAGAACAAATGAAAAATCGTCAGGGTGTATCTGAATTGATGAAGGCCACACTGGAGTGTAGAAAAGTGGATGTACAAAAAAATCAAATGTACAAGCGTGGACCGAAGAAGAGAAGCGAGCGGCACAGATATTTTATCACATTTGCAACACAATTCCATGCTCACCTATAAACATGAGCAGTTCTGACCGATACCCGTTCTGACAAACGCAGTGCAACATGTGCACCGTGGCAGATAATTACCCCAACAGCCTCTGTTGGAGCAGAACGCTCGAATGCGTCCCAAACTGCTTCAGAAAAGGTCAGCCATGCACCCCAGACCCTCCTCCTATTGTCGTTCTCGCAAGCCACATGTTTGTTTCACTTGACTCAATGGACTTGATCTGCGGATCTCAACTGCGTTTCGTTCCATATGCACCCAAGCAGTGTAGGAATCCAGTCTATTAAATCACTTAATCTGCAAGAGGAAAACAGCTTTCTTCTTTGAAATTATGTGGAAATTTAACATACTTTTCTCATTAGACAAGTGAACACCAACAATAAAAGCAGGTGATTTGGGAAGTGTGGATGCTCTCCACTAAACCATCCACAGACACAGCTATTTTTCAGCATTATGTGTGATTTGATGAGTCAAAAATCATCACAAGTGTTAGTAAATAAATATGCAAACACTCAGGGTTGAATACAAAAGAAGCATACCGTTCCACCTGCGGTTTAATGGAAATTCGGGACAAAGAAAGACAAAGCTAGATAAACCTTCAACTGGTTTGCTGTGGTTTCTACCACAGAGAGTCTGAGAAGGCATGTGCAGAGTGGATCTCCATAGCAGTGTTTCCATTACAAATCTGCACAAATTTTTGTCTTTGTTCTATTAATGTTGAAAAAAAACAATTTCATAATTGATGAGTTTCCATTAAATAGGAAATTAAATCAAAAAAAGCTTGTTCACACGATAAGTTGTTAAAAATTATTTCTGCGACGGATGAAAGCAATTCTGAAATATACTGACAATTTAGCCAAGGTGTTAGTTATTATCTAGAGGAAATATCAGTGTCTTATTCAGGCATTGGAGCAATAAACCGATACTCTTGGGAGCGGCTACACATGCTGCATTTTGGAGAAATTTTAGTTGCCGATTTTAAAGAAGAGTTACGGATTCAACACGTACGAATGACCTTTTTATTAAATATGTAACGCTGTGAGAGCTCAGGTGGAGCCAGCATCACTATGTCCAAAAAAACCCCCAAAACAAATCATTTTCCTCATGCTGCTTCCTGTCATCTTCATGGTTTTCACAAGTGTTTCCGTTGCAGTTTTGGAAAATAACACTTCATCCTAGAGCAAACACTGTTCATTGACAAATATGACTTTTTTCAACATTTCTGTTTCCATTAAGCAAATTTATTTCATAATTTCAATTTGTGCAGTTATATGGTTAATGGAAACATGGCTGGGCTACTGCAATCATTTTTAATCACCTCTGTCTGTATGTAAAGCATTTTAAAATCCTCACCAAAAACCCAATTTCTGTACAAATCAGCTTGACATTTTGGTTTTGCTGTGGTCTTTCTAAAAAACTTTCATGGGTTTCATTCGCTGTTCAAATGTTTTTGCTACAGCGATACAGACCACAAGTAAACACTTCTGAAGGGAAAACTTGACTAAAGCCATGCAAGTAAAGAGAAGTACAACAAGAACCTTGACCTTGAACAATAAAAGGCAATAAATAATCAAATAAAAGTAAGGGAAATATGTTTAGATGCATAACTGTGGGTGACCTTGTAATTCCCTCATTTATTGTTACAACCCTAAAGTATCAATTAGTGATCCTGCAGCTAAGTTTGTGTGTGAAAAAACCAAATCTTTAAAAATTAAACCTCAAAGAAAATCAGGCATTGAAATTGGCCAGGAAAAGCCTGATCACGGCATAATCTAGTCAAATCCACGGGTTCATTTAAAATAACTTTTTATCCTTTTGTGCAAGCTCATTTTGAAAGGGGCTAAAAACAATCATTACTGCACATTCTTTCTATCGTTCCTTTCATTTTTCAACCTAAGTAGTTACTGCAGGTGTTGGAAGAACTCATTGAAGTAAAAAACTTGGATATTTCCCACTGGCACATAAATACACCCACACACATATGCCCTGCTCTGATCATTTTGACAAGTGTGTCATGGTGCCTCTACAGAGAACTCCATAATCTTGGGATTTTGAAACCCTCGAAGACACTGAAAACAGAAAACTCTCCAAGAGTCTTAAGCGGGGCTCTAATTACCCCTCATCACAATTAAGCACAGTGGACAGCCGCTCCAAACACTGGGTGACATCTTAAAACTGAGTGAATGGCTCCCTGCACCCCCTGCACCCTGTCCAACCACTACCACAACCACGCTCAATCACCTAATGTTCAACACTAACCAACCATCACACAGACCTACATTCATAGGCCGAGCTACAATGGAAAACACTGCTGCCCAGACGGTTTGGTTTGCACTTTATCAGACTATACAAAACAGCAACGCCTCATTGAGCCACAATTTGCTGCTAGTTTCCTACAAGAAGCAAAACAAAGAACGGGGCGGCCTGGTCTTCCTTTTTTTGTGTCAAAGCAGCGGACCAGACAGCACACACACGCATGCACGCACGCGCGCACACACACACGCACGCACACGCATATAAACGCAGTGAGAGTCAGAGATGTACCAGCAGAAAAAAAGAAAAAAGTGAGAAGAGCAGAACAACACACTCAAGAACAAGTCTGTCACATCCTTCAAAGCACCACATGAGTAAGCTTTGCAACCACTTTAGGGGAATAAAAGAAGATACTGCACACCTGCAATGCAAATCACACTGTTTTAACTCTTCTGTTAGTTAAAATTATGGAGACTGAACATAAAAAGAATTTTTCTTAAAAAGCAACTAATTTAACTTCTGCTTCTCTAAATATGCAAGCTGTAGCTGCTGCAGAACAAAACAATAGCTTGTCTTCATGAATGGGTCACAGACATGGACCACATTAAAAAAACTGCTTGGGGAAAAACTGCTTATGTTAGGGCAGTCACACTCATTTCCCTCCCTCTGTTACCCCCCCTCATCTCTTTCCAACTCTTCCTCTCCAGTTTTACTACCACGATAATTCCTGAGTGAACGTCCTCTGTGTGCGTGAGCCAGTTGGGGTCGAAGTCCTGTTTGTGCATTTGTGTAGTCATGCGAGAGCGCGTGTGAATGAGTGTATTGCTCATGGATGAGTGCCGCGGCAGTGAGTGTGCAGAGGGAAACAGAAGTCTGCAGAGCGAGGGTGAGAGGGGGAGCTCGCTTAAAGTCAGGCTATCAAGCAGACAAAAAGATGCAGAGAGGGAGTTTATGCTGTGCTTTGTGTTGTTGTTTTGCCCTGGTACACAACAATAAGGCAAATTCAGTCATTCTGACATTCAAGCAGTTGAAAGGGAGGAACGCAACACAAAATAAGCATAAAATAAGCACCTCCCCAAAAGAGTAATAGGCACACTTGTCACCAAAAGGACTATTAAACTTAGAACAACATATATCTATGTATAAATGATAAATGTGCAATTACAAATGAATTACAAAGTAATATTAGTTGCCAAATAAAGAAAATTGTAAAAGCTTTTCTAAAAGTGTTAATAGAGTATAGCGTTAATATCTGTTTATGCTCTTGCACACCTTTCTACAATTTAATACAGATTAATAGACATGATTCACATTTAGACATATAGAAATCTTACAACTGATCAGATTCAGGGAAAAACCACATAAAATATGGCGTTGATCATTCATGGCATAACTGTTAATTCTTTGTTTTAAGACAAATTTGTTAGAATTTGTTCTAAGAAACCTAACTAAAAAGATTATTTACCTGGAGTTGTTTATAAGCACAAATGAATGTTCAAATAAACAGTTTCATGTTTTATCATTTTTCAACACTTAGAAAAGTCTAGCATTTTCCACTCTGGGAGTGCAAAGACCTTGTGGCACAAAATCATGTGTCAATGAAATGCTACAAAACTTCTCAATGTGAAATCACTCACAGAAAAGTAAATGAAAGTGATTCAATATGATCCAGATATGATGGAGAATAATTTAAGCATAAAACTTCCCTCCATCCAGAACTTGAAAAGGTCAAAGATCAGGAAGCAGGAAACTGACTTCCCTTGCAGATCTCACACAGCCTGGACACAAACTGTGTAACATTTACCTACAAAGTGCTACTTGCACACAGCTCCTCTAGACTAGTGGCAGCAGTGATAAGCAAACACACTGCTGAGGAACCTCTCATTGCAGACATATTCCTGGTTGTAAATGGCATAATGGAGTAGCATTGTTGTGATGAAGTGCTGAATGTCAGAAAGAGCAGGAGCTTCTTAAAGACACAGACGCCCAATTTCAAGGCATGAAATTGCAAAGTCAAAGTTCTTTTAAGTTATGTTTGATATACACAGCATTTTTATAACTGAAGGTAGCATAGTTACAAGGTTGTGCTTTAAAACGGAACTATGTGCCTGGAAATTTAAAGAGCATAGTGATCTTTTCTACCATAGACATGCAACTGGATCTATTATCATACAAACATTTTAATAATCTTCAAAGATTTTCTTCTCAAAAAACAGCGAAGTTAAACCTCCCACCCCACTTCACTTCAGCCACCTCCAATATAACAGTTTAGTTTGAAACAGAGGAACACTCTTTATAACCTTTAAAAAGATTTAGATGCTGACCAAAGCCGCTGCTGTCCATCAGTTTTGCTGGTTGTGTGAAAAAAAATGGCCTGAATGGATGGTTAATGAGAAGTGACGCTGTGATCTGATGACACTGCGGGGATACTCTAGTTTGTCACAACGTGTAAGGGCCTTCACTTTTCAAGGGTGGCTGCACTTCAGTTAAACAACACACAGCTTAACATGAACCAGTTAGGACAGAAAAAAGTTTCTAATCCTGGAGAAATTGAGGCACAAATCAGCGAGACATCTCAGAAAGACATTTATGTCCCACTGCAGACTTCAAAGCAAATCAAAAGCCAAAAAATTACCTCCAGCAATACATCACCAAAGACAGAAATGATTTATTACATGAATACCGACATCTGAGGCAGACTTTGGTGTGTTACCTCTGAAACACGTTGACACCTCGTACCATTCCTTTCATTAAACAGCAGACGACAGAGAACCTGTAAAAGAAGAGATAAAGTCACATAAACTCCAAGCATTAAACACGGGCACAAAAAATGTGTGATAAATTTAAACGCCATTTATTATACGATACTACTTGCGATGATGATGAAGTTATTTAAAGTCAATAAAAAGCAGTTAGATGGAAAAAGATGCATTGTCCTCTGCTATGTCATATGTTCACATCTTTATTCCTTTATAGAAGAAAAAGCATCAGATGTATCAGACTTCTCATATCTAAACCCACTCTCCTCTCACCTTTTCCTCCATTTGCTTTCATAAGCGTGCACACTAACACCAATTCTTTTCAGTGCCCTACACTTACTTGGAAAGTTGTGATTTACACTTGTGTACTAAAAACAGCTTGAGACAAACACATTAAAATAATGAGGAGAAGAATTGACTTTGTGTTAGTGGTTGGAGTCGTTGGTGAAAGCTTCCTCTGTGTGATACTGATACGAGAAAAGTGTGAAAAGCATCATTTAACACGCTGAACTTCAAGTGCAAGGTGAAGGCAGAGAGCTACCCTCTGATACCACTTTGTCACACCGAAAAATATTGCTGCACGTTTCCTCCAACAAAGCCTTTGGGGTAAATCTAAGTCAAATGAAGATCTTTAGAAACTAATTTCCTTTGCAGAAACCGAATGTAGAATTTGTTTGCTTTGCTGGGGGACTGCAGGTGTAGGGATTGGCTGCTGGATCGAGAGCAGGGAGGGGGTCTTTTAAATCTACATATGCATAAACACACACAGCACTAACCCCCACGCCCACTGACTTTTGTCAACCACACACGCATCCCATTGCTCACCCACCCCTGGAGAGAGCGCCCAACCTCCTGACCTCCTACATCAGGGGGTCAAAGAGAATTTAACACAAGGGTTCCACATTCCTTCAAGGTGATAATTGCTGTAGCTGCTGGTGGGGGGCCATCAGGCACAGGGTAAACAAGCAATGACTCCATGCACCCTCAACTCCCACTCAGTTAAACAGTCTGCGTGACTGTGACCTGCGTAAATCATGCCACCGAGCCCATCCTGACAGCACGTCAGACTGGTGAGTCTGTTTGGTGTCTGAGCGCCCAGGTGTTCTGGATAACTGTAACTGCAACATCAGCAAGACAAGCCAATTCACACATGCTGTCAGCTTCGGTCTGGAGGCTGGCTGCATAAAACGGATTGTTAGCACAGAGCTGAGCTAAAGCAAAAGGAAGCACTCAGAACAATAGGTCAGGGACAGCAAATTTGTTTGTCACACCTCCCGATCTCTTCTACTGTCCTACAGACCTGAGTACAGCTAATGAGAGGAGATGAATGAAGTAAGAGAAGTGGCGAGATAGATTGTGGTCCGTAGAGTCAACTTAACTGCAGATACACCACCAATACAGAAATTGTATTCCTAGTCCTGCACTGTGCATCCCCACCTTTTTACAGATTGTTTCTCTGGAATGTAACTAAAATATTCAAATCAAAATGCAACTTGGGAACCTAGATGTATCTAGATGCTACTGACTGGCACTTCCAAAGCAGCCAAAGTGCCATTCTTGGCTGCGCCACCAAGTGCAGACATAAGACATAAGACATAAGGTATATTTGGAGTCTGAAATACTAAAATATGCAACTAGAAAATTTTTGAAGGGGGATCTAAACTATTTGCAGACTTTGGTTACTCGCCAAATCCCTGTGAATACTGCAGAATGAACAGAACTGTGAAAATCAGCTACACTCACCTATGTCCCCTCAATGCCTAAAACTAAAGCTGAAAAGTACAGGCACTTCTTGTACATTTTGTCTAATAATTTTCTGACCACTGGAGGCCACCCATAGATCATTTTTAAAATTCCAATATAGTGAGATTAGCATTAAGTTTAAAAAAAATAGCAAAGTAAGATTGTGACATCACAGCAAAGCTAACAAAGATTGTCCTTTTGTGGCAGGACACTGTGAATTTCACACCCTTCATCCCAATACACATGCACTATTCAAAGGGGGAGTACATCAAAAGCAGCACTTCAAATATGTGACCCGAATTAAAGTTCAACCAAAATAATTTCAGGCATGAAATTATTTGCTTCCAGCCACAAAATACATGCAGGAAGGTTACCAACAGCAACATGTGTCCAAAGTACATATCACTACAGAATTTTAATTAACGAAATTAGAAGAGTTTAAAAATGGCTGGACATTTGTTTGTTGCATTTACTACATTTTATAATAAAAGAAAATTAATAATCCTCTCTACCTGTTAAATCTTAGGTAAGTCCTCATAAAATCTAATTTTCTATTAATACGATTTTTGGTAATTAGGCATTTGTAATTAGTAAGTAAACAAACAAACTATTGAAAACAACTTGCAAAAGTATTCTGCTTTTCAGGAAAATAAAAACATCAAGGGTTGTTAAAATAAAGTAAAATAACCACGAGAACGTGCGCGAGTTCTTTGTGACAAGCTGCACATACAAGATGAACATTTAAAACAAAGAAAGCACACTGGGTTTGAATGAACTCTCCAGAAACGAAGGGAAATTGTGATTTTAAAAGAAATTATGAAAAAAATTCATTTGGAAAACACTCTGCTGCTGTTTGACAAGGTGAACTGAAAACAATCTCTTTGTACAAATTATTTATTGTTGTGCTGTCAAGTGCAGACAAAGGGGTGCTTAGTGGATGCTTAGGAAGAAAAGCATCACCAGATTAAATTTTTTTTTTTATTGTCAAGGAAAAAAAACTTAAATAATTAACTTAAAATTAATTATTAAAAATGCAGTAGAACAATACAACAAGTCCTGCATTTTAAACGCTGCAGCATGAACAATTCCTGGAGAATGTTTGAGTCTGTTTTATATTTATGACTCGATAATATGTTGTGGATTTTTGCTTTTATCTTTTACTGTAGTCAACTATCTGACTTTTAGCTGTTTGGTAAATACAGGCCATGCTCTCCGCCTACATGTGGTTTCCCCTTAGCCACACACTGAGGCTTGGGGAGGTTATAAAAGCCAAATGGGTGATTAAAAAGCAGGAATAATGGCCTCCACAAAACTAGGAATGCATTTAACAACTACAGCAGCTCCAGAATTGTTCAAAATCAGGCTGCCGTTAATATCGGGAATCATTCCGCCTTCTCATGACCATGGCCACATTACAAAGGGTTCACAGCTACTTTCAAAGGAACTGACCCTGGGAAACATGAGAAGCACTGGCAGGATAGGCTCTGTGTTTATGATTTATGTTTGAGGACAACCCAGGAGGATTTCGTCTGGGCATATAGAGCAATGCTGACCTGCCCACAACTTTCACAATGTGAGAGTATTGCAGATGCCTCTATAATCCAGGATTAGAAAAGTCAAATATACAAACACCTTAGCCTCTCCTCCCTTTCTCACAAACACCATGAAGGGAGACAGATTGAAAGGGAGGCTATTGGCTGGTGTCTGCCTGCTTAGCACACCCAAAACCCAAACTCCATCACTTTCCTCATTACTAGAGCTTCATGGCTTTTAGGGCTCTGTGCTTTATCTGGGATTTCACATTTCCCCGGCCAACCTCTTGACATGGCTCACCCAGCTGCCAGTAATCAAGCAGCATTGGGCAACAGCAGCAGCAGAGGCTGGCCGAGACTTCAGGCGGCACCTTGATTTGAGAATTTCAGATCACAGCCACTGGGACTGCTAAAGTTTGGTAATTATAGGCTACACATCCTATCAAGCCTGTAACTCTAAAGATCGCATCATAAACTAACCTGGCATAATAGGTGGATGGGAATGGGGAGCAGGGTCAATGGGGGGCCAAAGTCCTCACACCGAGCCAACTTTTTAAAATTATTGCAGGATACAACAAACCTCAATGTATTTATTTGGATTTCGTTTGGCAGACCAACACCCAATGGTGCTAAATTGGAGGATAATAATCTATAACTATTCATTTTCTTTTAAAGAGTGTCATGCATTTGTATTAAGCAGCCTTTAATTTGATAACCCCATCTAAAACCCATTAGAACCGACAGGATTCAGAAATCATCCAATGATTAAACAGTGAGCCTGCTTCAAATATCTTAAAACAGCAGTTCGGTGCTCAGATCAACAAATAACATCATGAAGACCAAAAAACACAGCATAGAGGTCAGGTAGAAGGTTATGTAGAGGATAAGAGCAGGGTTAGATGATTTAGCAATATGCTAAGATTTGGATATCTCACAAAGCACTATTCAGTCCATCATCGGAAAATTAAAGGAGCTTAGCACAACTTCAAACCCCCAAAGACATGATCATCCATCTAAACTGACAAGCTGGGCAAGGAACTTCTGTGGGACAGCAACTAGAGTTACCACTGAACAAAACCATGAACACACCATCCCTGGAGAAACATGGTGGTGGAAGCATCATGCTGTGGAGAATCTGTTCATAGTTGACAGTGAGATGGATGGAAATACCATCCTAAACGAACCCTTGACCATAAACGACACAAATGGCCTGTTTAGATCAGAACGAGCTCCATTCTAGAAATGATCCGGTCAAGGTCCAGACCCAGATTCAACTGAGAATCTGTAGTTTCATCCAGTCTTACTGAGGTGGGAAAATGTTTTAAGCAGGTAGAGGCACAACAAAAGGCATGCAACTGTAACTATGACAAAATGGATTGATTCAGCAGAGATAAACACAAACGTATGCTGCACTTTTCAGATTTTGGTTGTTGAAATTCTGAACACCATTTATCATTTTCCTCCATTCTACGACTGAAACAGTTAATTGAATTAATCAGGTTAATTCGGATTATTGAAATAATCATCAACTAATTTAGTGATCTAACTGTTAACTTGTAAATACAGACACTAAAATTTCATGTTAAATCAAGAATGGCAACTTATTTTTGCACGTTAATGTTAGAAGTATTCACTGAAGCTAAAGTTATTGCATTTTAGGCAATAGTTTTTATTTCATCTAAAAAACAAAGTGAATTTTTTGTTTATTTGCATTTTTGTGTATTTCAAAAGTTGAATAAAATAAACTCAACCGGTTGAGTAAAAAATCAGCACAGGGTACCAATTATTATTATTATTATTAAATTATTAAATAATAATTATTATTTTATTAATTGTCAAAATAATCATCACGTGCATGCACTGCTTTGTGCCGACAGATTGGAGATATCCTGAGGATGTCCTTCAGCACCACAAAATTCTTTCTGAATGCATAAAAGAAGTGATAACTGAAACATCCTGTTTTGTTTTTGTCCACAACCACGTGCTTGTTTGTGTGGCTGCTTCCACCTACAGTGAACGCATTGTACTTGTGTGCACTCTAATTGAGAGGTAAGCAAAAAAGTTGCCTTTAAAGTTGCCAATAAATATCCTGCCAGTAATGTTAAACACCTGCCCGTAAAGCTCAGAGGAATGCTAAATGAAACCAAGTTGCAGAGCCTGTCTCCTGTCTGGGGTCTAAAGTCAAGGCAGCAGGATTTGTAATGGCTGTAACCGGGATTATGGAGTTCAAGCATTACAGGCAGGAAGCGAGAAAAAACATGACATGGTGAGTGCCGCTGCTTTTCCTCCCTCTAACGGCCAGCACAATGAGTTGTGTGTTTCCCTTTTACAGTACAGAAGCATTCCAGATTATTCTAAGACTTTTTTTTTTTTTTTTGCTGCACAGCAGACTCTTGGCATCAAGAACATGTCAAAACACATCATGGCGAGATTTTTTTTGTTGAACTGCCATCACAGCTGAATGATCAAAGCTTCTTCTGAAGTATTGTTTAATACTATCAGACACATGGGTGTTTAACCGAAAAGCGTTCCCAATTTCGTCAAGTGAGAGTCAGATAAAATTGGACAGGGGAAAACCGCAACTCCAAGCACGTCCTTGTGATCGCATCTTAACCCCCTCGCTGACTGGACATAAACGATGATTTATTAACTAAAGCGCGATCACAAGCAGGAAGATGTTTTAAACATCTCACAAACCAACTTTCCCTCATGTACAATCCAATATTAACTACAGACTACATGTTTGATTCTTCAGTATGCACTGAAGTTAATATTTCATATTTGATGAGCTGTCTATGCTGATTATCTATGCGACAAAAGGATGATTTTTGTCTGTGTTTTAGGGCCTCCAGAGGTCAAATAGAACACCTGACCCCACAAGCTAGAGACACCGTCGTTTGGCCTCGGATCTGGTTTCGATTCCCCAAAACTCCTGACGCCGTTCTCACGCTGCACCTGTCAAGCACCAAAAGGCCCCCTGCCACGGCCCTTTCAGCGACAAGAATATACAGCTCTTCCCACAGGTCCAGTGTGGCTAATTACTGCCAGGACCAAATGCCACAATGCTACAGGGTGTTCAACTGATGTCCCCTTTACTCAACAGTTGTCCTCCTCTCTGTTTACTTTCTTTCCCTCTTTCCTTAACTAGAACCAGAACAGGCTGACCATGCACAGGCAGTTAGCTCCAGTCACTGGCTGCCCAGAGATTAAGCTCTCCTGTCTACACGCAACCATGAATAATGAAGCTATCGCTCCAAACAGGCAGCCAACGGCGGCATGAGTTATATACACCAGTAATCCCACAGGCTTCTCCATACACGCGCCAGATGTGGTCGTACAGTAGTAGCTCTACTGTAAAGCTCATGTATCATTTTACAAAGCAGAAGAGTCGACTATCACTGATTGAATACCTTAAATCTTAAAACTTTTCCTTCTTTCTTTGGTCAGATCAGTGAACTTATAGAAGGGTCTGAGATGTAGAGACAACAACACAAGGACTTGTCTTTAAGTGTCTTTAAACGCTGACACATGAGGAACGTTACATTCAATGCGATTTCTTCTTAAATATTAAAGCTGCAGTATGTAACTTTTATAAAAAATATATGTGTTTTTTACAAATGTATTAAAAATGATTATCATATTGTGACAGAGAAGGATAATCTGTGAAAAATCTGGTTCCTCTGCCTTCAGGAATCAGAATCCAAGTCAAGTCTTATCAGATTGAAAAGTCTTTACATTGTTTTAAACAAGGTAGTCCAAAAAGTTTTGTCGTGTTTTCAGTGTTACAGTTCACTCTGTGTTCCAGTTCAAAATAAAATGAGATCTTGGTGACACTGCCTGAAAACTGTTGTTTATCATAGAATTGCGCAAATTGAAATGACAAAAATATATTCCATTAATGGAAACACGGCCATTTCCGAAACAAAACTCACTTTGTTGAGCTGGGATGAAGTGTTTTTACAGCCGTATCGACATAGACATTGCGCAAAACTGCAATGGAAACACTATTTCCGCATCGCGCAAGTCACGTGATCAACAGCTGGACGTTATTAATGGCGACGAGAACCACGACCTTCTTCGTAATTTATAGTTTAATTATCTTTTTTATTATTTTCTGTAGCTCTTCTGTAAGGGGTTTGTCTTTCCAACACCTGAAAAAGACGCCAGAGATGCTGAGCGCCACCGCCATGCTGGAGATATGAATATTTCTTGTCACTGTTTACATCCATGGCTGCCATGATTTTTATTCAATTATCGCCTGAGCAACCTCATTCAAGTGTGATCTACATTTATTTTTAATGGAAACATTGCAATTGCAAAATTATGTTTTTTTGACATTTGTAGAAATATAAATATAGACAAAGATTTGCGCACATTTGTAATGGAAATGCAGCTACTATTTATACAGCCAGTTAAGTTGTGCGGTGAGCTAAACATTACTTAGGGGGGTAAATGAGTACTACTCACTAAATATGTGTGTTTTAAATTTTACTCCATATGCTCTTTGCTCTGGAATGATGATTTTATGATGTGGTCAGTAATATTGACTGTAAGCATGTTTTCCATCATATCTGAAATGTTTTGGATCGCTTTTGTTCATTAATGAATATTTAAGTGAGACAAAAAAAAATCTGTAAAAAAGATCAAAGTACTTCCACTACACTATATGTTTGAGTAAAATTATTGTTGAGATTCACTGGGATGGATTGGCTGTCAGTCATGCACTGATGGAAAAAAAGAATCAGAAAAATGCTCTGTAGTGGTTTCTTATTTCTTGTCCAGAGTTCTATTCGGAGTAGCAGATTTTTTCCTCCCCATTGGAAAACGCTCCATGACACAACGTCCAAACATTGGCTGCACCTGACGTAAGGGCGGATAATAACAGGGACCACGTGACTGCAGCGCTCAGCCTGGACTCAGCAGGGTCTGTCAGAGCCTCCCTGGTGAGGACGAGGCACAAGCACCGGACGGAGATGACAGTTCGACTATTAAAGAGACATTTCCAGAGCTATGTGACGCACGTCGAGATATTTAAACTTTGCATGAGACACTTTTTTTTCAGCTGTTCTATTGTTGGGTTCTAAAGATTGCATCTAAATCCGCGAAATAATTGTGGGGGAATAAATGCGCAAAAGCGCACCGACTGACTTCGAGTCTTATCTTTTCCTCTCCCTGCAGTTGCCATTCAGGACTCTTTCCTGTCTTGTTGTAACTAGACAACACGCCAACAAGCCCCGTTTCTGAAGAGCAACGCGACTAAATTCCTCGGTCCAAGTCTTATCGCGCTGCGTCACCGGCTCAGACGGGGGCAAAGTATGGCACCATATTTGAACTTGCATGAATGAAAGTGACGGCATCAAAGCACACAGCCAGCAGGCGACTCACTCAGCCCCGCTCGTCTGTCTGTCTGTCTGCCTCCCCAGCGTGGCACGCTGCTACATCCTTCAGGGGAGCATCACCTTGTGGGAGGCATCCTCCTTTTTAAACAAACATCGGTCCTGGACATCCAAACCAGCTCGTCCTGCGACATATTTTTAGTTTGGACCCGTTGATGTCACTTCCTGCCTGGGCAGTAGAGCCCAGGGATGAGGAGGGATGTCCGGAGAGACAGGACTGGGGATATTCAGAGCCAAGTTCACAAGGTCACACCTCAGGGCAGAATTCAAGCCCCAGAGGAGACGGGCGATGCTCTTTTAAAACGACAGCCCCTCTCTGTCATTACTCGCTATAAGGACGTTGTTCACTTTTACATGATACACAGTCACATCCACATCCTCCTACACCCCTGTGATGCGCTGGAGACGTTCATTTCCTGCTGCGCTGTACGCATTTACGGCCGGTGTTATGTAATGAGGGTGGAATCATAACACTTTGCGTTTACATCATGCATATTTGATGAAATCTAATGAGAATTAACCAACAATGCATTCAGGACACTGAGAAAATATTTTGTTGAAAATGTCACATATGCTTGATGGAGTCAAATTTAAATAAAACAAAAAATTTCAGCCACCCTGATCATATTTCTAACAGGCCCTTGAAGCAATTTATTCACTACCATTTAGTTCTGTTTTCTGAGATTAATTTCTCAGTGAGAAAATGCATTTTATTCTGGGTTAATTATTTCTGAGAGGTAAAGGCAGGGCGATTTTTTAGCAGTATCTGGATTTGTAAGCATACAATTTTGTTACATCCATGCAATTTTGAAAAGCTTAGTTAGGAGCAGATAAACTTCAATAATTATCGGCCTTTTTCCCACAGCAGTTCTTCTATGCATGGGTCTTCTTCTGTGTCTGGTAGCCTTATTCAAAATAATTGGCTAAATTTAAAGTTTTACGACTCTAATCTGTGTTTAGAAATAACTCGATAATTTCATCCATGTTTCAGGTAATGTTTTATATTTCTCCTAATTTTCTCAACCCATTTTGATCCTAATTATAAAATAATTATTAAACATGTTTTTTTTAGTATTTTTACATGTGAGATGTATATTTTATTCTTTTCTCTTCAATAAGGAATAACCTATCACCCATAGTTTTATGTGAAATGATCAGGAGTTCTCCTGGTTCCCTAAAAAAGTAGGAATAACATCTTTATGTAGTTTCAAAAAGGAATTTATAAAACAGATACAAGCTTCAGTATCATCAGCTAAAAGAGTATTATATATTTTTCCTTTTTATAGTGCCTAAATTGTATCAACATATAGGAATAAAGTCATAGAAAACTTTTTTTTTAGTGGAATGCCATCCCATGGTTGAGCCTTATCACTCACAGTACAAATGTTATCTGTGCTTTTCCTAAGATTCTTCACAAACACAACATTTATCCTACAACAATATGCAATAGACCCAATAAAATAAATAATATTATGCTGACGTAGAAGTGTAATAGTCAGGAACCATAACATATTTTTTATTCCTAAAACGCTCAGGTCCTATTCTAATGTTCAAACCCAGAGTATAGATGCAGTGCAGCAAAGTGATGACTATCTTATTTCCTAGTCCAGGTCTCTCCTCTTCACCTTTGAACTCAGACCCAGCAGCCAATCTCTGATCCACAGAGGGTCTCCTTTCACTTTTACCTCCATCTCATTCCAGGCCCCTGAGATAGATGACCATCAGCATGCCAATACTTCACAATACTTCAATTTCCTGCTCAGGAAGAGGTATTTTAGAGGTTGATCAAAGTTCACAGGAGCAGTGTGGTGCCTACAGAGTTCAACACCAGACACCAGCCTCGTGCCAAGAGCCTGAAATCCAAAAATTAAGCTGTGAACATTCCAGAAACCCCGGTCCTCCATGTGTTAGCAACATAACCCCTGCTGCCTCCGTTCTGACTGAGAGGCAGTATTGTGATGGACTCTGACATCCAGCAGCCTGAGTGTATATAATTTCAAAAATGCTCAAAGTGCATGTGACAGGAGGATTTGGTCGTTAACGGCCACATCTGAGTCACCAAAAGATACGTTTTTCAACCCTCAAAACAGTCTTTTTAAATAAAACACAATATTTTATACATTAGCAGAATCCCATTTTACCATTTACCAATTAACTTGCTTGGAAAACACCCCAGCATAAAGAAGGCTGCTCAGTAATAGAAAAATATATTTTAAAATTGTAATAGTGGTTTCAACTACATTTTCCTTTCTTCCTCTTCCAAGGTCACAATGACTCTTCTTTCCTCTTGAACTTTAACCTCTCAGTCACCAAGAGCAGACAACCCCCTCCAGTGAAAAACAACCCAACAGTCCAAAATATTTCACAATTTAAAACTACGATGGAAATCATGATTTGATTTATGATTACAGTTACCTTCATGACCCATAACATATTTATCCTAAAGATAAATGTTTTATGGGTTAATGTCCTCAGTAACAATAAGCACTTTTAAAAAAATATTCAATTTTATTCAGAATCACAACATCTATTCTTTCCCATCCTTCCCACATTTGCTAATAAATTAAATTAATTGTTTTTAATTATTTTAAACAAGTAAAAACTCAGAAACAAAAAATAAAAGACAAATATAAGCTGGTGTCCAACATGTATAATTTTTTTGTTGGTGTTTTTGTGAAAAGAAAGACTGCAAAAGTAAAGTTGCAAAGAGCTGCAATATTTATTTAGTTAATTATCTGTTTATTTGTTTGTTTGCTCATTTATTTCTGTATCTATCTATCCATTTATTTTTATTTTACTTATTTCGTTATCTATTTTTACATGCTTGTGCCATTCTTTGGTTTTTCATTTTGACACCTTTAAAAATCTGTTAATGAGTCCCAAAACTTTGCAGGTTTGAGCAAAACAAATCTTATAAAATGAATGATGTCTAAGCTCCTGATAAGAGTTTCATTTCTCAAAGAAATATTTTAACTTCTGCTTAAATAAAGTGGCCTGGGATGAGGCTGGGGGAAGGAGAGTGGACAATGCTTAAAATAAAATCTCCCTTTCAAGCCACTTTTTATGCTATCTTGATTTTTGGAAAACTATATTTCATATTGGATTCGTGTACAGAGCGCATGAATCCAGTTTGTGTGGAGTTTTAAGGGTTCGTGGAGCCAATGCACAACATCCCTGTGTATGTTGTAGTAGTTTTTTAATAGGCTGTCGTTCTCATGTGGGTTTGTCATCTGTATGCTATTGGCTGGATCGGCATCAGACAGGAGGGAAGCAGGCAGTGCAACCTAGTGGTGGGAGAGAGGGGTGTGGTGTAAAGGGGTGTTTACCGTGACTCACACTGACACTGAAAATACACATTTTCTGTCTTACTCATAAACACATATGGCTGCAACACTTAAACTCAAGCCCCCGTGTCTGGTTAATACAGTGAAGGGTAACTTATCTCTTTAAAACACATGCTCTCCAACCAGTGAGCTATTATTAGATGAAATAATCTAAATACCAAACAGAGTAAAAATAATATAATTCCCTGCATTCCACCCACATGTGTGGCTTAATGCTCCCTAACCTGTTTTTAAATTTTGGGGTAAGGGATTTTTTTGCACTTTCATTCTTTGAAACTGTTATCTCAAAACTTTGTTCTGTTTAAACTCAAAAGCTGATACTTATACTTTTTCAGATTGTTAGTTAAGATGAAAAAATGTACTCCTAACTTGTAATGGAAAAACGCTTCCTTATCGTCCAGCTGTGAAGTGATAGTGTCGCGCCCAAAGGGCCATGTGGAAGAGATGTGAGAAAAAAAGCTTGGTTTGTGAACTTCGTCATTTTTTTGGGAAGCATCACAGACAAGCTTTCGAAGGACCCCAGCAGCCGTGCTCCACTTTGCCTTGAAGTGGATTAATAATGAATTAAGGCTTTCCCGCCCCCTTTCTAAAACAATATTCATGCGTGCTAATGCATCCATTATTTAAAGTGTGCACGTAGGGCAGCTAGTGGTGGCCACATGCAAGTGGGAGGGATGGGAAGATGAAATAGGAAGGAGGGGGCCTCTTGTCCCCCACCATGTGAAGCTCTGGAAGAAACATCCGCCCATTGTGGCTGGGGCCTGAGCTGGATGGGACGGCTATGGGTGTGGATTTGGAGAAGTAGGGGGAGGTGGAGGATGCCAGACAGGCAGCTCGTGCACAAGCAGAGGGCCGCCAAGTGTTGTGGGGGGAGGGGAGGATTAAACAAATAAATACATGATAAGAAATAATCGTGCCAGTGAGGGTGGGCGCGATGGAGACAAAGAGGGTAAGAGGGAGGAAGGGGGGTGTCAGTTAAGTCAGACAGGATTTACTGTCTGAACTGACCTGTTCTTGACCAAAACCCTTCCACTTGGAAGGAAACTTTGAAGGATGGTTTTTTTGGTTGTTGTTTGTTTGACTGATGCATTCAATGGATCACCGATTACTGCAGCAGGGAGCAAACTAAAGCTTTTTAAATGGAAATATACTTACCTCATCAAAGGTTTAATGCCACAGTGAGTGAAAAATATCGGTTAGCACCAAGTCATAATTTAAGTAGCACAGGAACAGATGCATTTTAAGCAAAGAAACAGAAAGAGAGCTAAAAAAATGAGTAAAGAGGCAGTTTTTCTTTAATGTGCATGGCAGGTATGCGGTGAGGCAGTGCAGAGAGAAGCAGGGTGAGCAGAGTGATAAGATAAACCAAAAAGCACAAGCCAGATGAGCTTTTCACCCCGACTGATCCCTGTATTAGCATAGATACAGAGTCATAATCATGGCAGGAAACTGGCGTTGTGGAGCTGAGATCAAGACTATAAGACTCATCTCCATAGATATCACTGGGGCCATGCAGGTAAATCTTACATCAGACTTATCTAAGCGATGTCTGGAGTGCATTACATTATGCCAACAACCTGTCACCTTAAACTTCAGTAATCCTTGTCAGTGATTAATTCTTAATACTACTTTGCTTGTCTCTAAAATGAAAAAAAAAGCACTGCTTAATTTCTATTTCTGTCGCAATGATTCCTCAGAGTAAAAAGTCTGTTCAGTCTCTCCGTCCAAAAACAAAATTCTACTAATTATACTTAAATATCAGTGTTTATGTGTTGGAAATACTCAGAGAAA